TTCTGTGAAAACAAAAGAAGAACTTCTTTTCCCAAGCAGCATATCCTTAGACCCTTCTGAAGTCAAGATGCTTTTACAATATACATGTTGGTTTAGCTTAGCAGCCCATATAATGAAATGTCTCTCTACATTTGTCTTCACAAAAAAAAAAAATTCAAAGAAAGCACACTAATATACAGAATCCAGACTCTATGAATTTTTCATTTTTATGTGGCTTATTTTATTTACTCTCTTTGTCTATGACTACCTGTACTCTATCCCTTTAAACACTTTACCCTTTGTAAACTTTATTTTATGACTCTCTATACTCTTTTTCTTCTCTCTCCCAAGCCTATGTACATTTATCCAACACTGTGACCCATGGTGTAGGAGGTCCACCATGTGTAAATAAAGAAACTACTTTGGGCCTGTTAATAGGGCAGAACTTAGGTAGGCAGGGAAGACAGAACTGAATGCTAGAAAGAAGGGCAGAGTGTGAGAGAGAGACGCCATGAACCCACCACCAGAGTTAGATGTACTGAGAATTAGCTGATAGGTGTACTAAGTATTTATTTAGCTCTGACAGTAAGCACTATGTCTAGTGCTACAGGAAGTATACACTTAATTTGAACACTGGTCTTAGACCCAGATGTAGTCCTACTCTCTTTTGTTAGAACTTATGGAGCTATGTAAATTCACAAAATATTGGCTTAACAGATACAGTCTGATGAAAGTTTCATAGTAACTGCCGAAGGAGCTATGTAAACAATGCAACAGCCTTGTTATCATACTGAGATAAAACTATGTACAAGGATGAAACCACACCTAGGAGGAAGGACTCCATTCCACTGAGGGAAAGTTAAACAGCAGTGATACTCAGAGAACAGAGAAATGACACCAGGACAGAAGAGATGGAGCACCAGAGGAAGAGTGTACTGATCATGCATCGAATGTGTGGTCTGGGGACCACTGTAGCACTCTCAGAACTTAGCACAACTGGTGCCATGTTAGATGTACCAAGGCACCATTGTAACCTAAGAGCCCATCACATAGACTCCTACACCTGCCAAAATGAAAACAAAGTCATAATCATTATAGTTCCTAGTTCTGGGATAGTGCCTAAATATATTAACCTTGCCTTTTTACTTTTTGCTTATTGCTAATTGTTTTTAATAACTGACCTGTATCAATCAGGGTATGATTTTTGTGCATAAAATGTCAATAACAGAAAGGTTCGTGGCTACAAAATTTGGGCTACATGATTCCCTGGATAGTCTTCAGTCAGTGAAGAGAGACTTTCTGTTGGCTTTTTCCTCTTTTCTTTATCTAGGGTACAAGTCCATTACAGAAAACTGTACCCACATCACTCAGTTATGGAAGACATGATTCACATCATTTTAACCCAATCTGCATAGCCCTGTGGTCTTCCTGAAAAGCATGTATCAAAAAATACAAAGTTAGGAACACAAAGTTTGACATGATGTCATTATGCAGGTCAAATGGAGAAGGTTATGTTGAGCCTCTGTTCTGACAGAAAAGCAACCGGTCCTTTGTTTACACATTGGTTTTATTGTAACAAAGCAATTTGTAGGGCTGGAGAGATGGCTTAGAGGTTGAGAGCATTGACTGCTCTTACAGAGGTCCTGAGTTCAATTCCCAGCAACCACATGGTGGCTCACAACCATCTGTAAATGGGTCTGGTGCCCTCTTCTGGCCTGCAGGGATACACAGAGACAGAATATTGTATACATAATAAATAAATAAATCTTTAAAAAAAAAACCAAAGCAATTTATACACTTCAACATTTACAATGAGCATCTTTTTCCTTCCAGTAAAAACCAAAAAACTAAAAATAAAAACATTCAAAATAAAGTTGCAACAGAGAATGTCAACTCCAAATAAAACCCTGCAAGGTCTTCTGATTCTCCCATTGAGTGGCAGGACTCAGGTCATCATTAGGAGAGAATTTTATGTCGAAAGTATCATCTTAAACTGCAAGGATGTCCTTACCATCACAATTAAACATGCCAAAGAATGCCCACTTACTCTCACAGACACCTCAAACCCATTCTTGGTGACCTTATATACTCTCCTTTTTTTCTTTCTTTTTCTTTTTATTAAACAAGAAAAAGTAGACAGATACATGTTGGTAAATGCTAACTGTCTGTATTCACATAGAGACACAATGTAATCTCTGAGCCCAATATACAGAGAAAGAAAATAAAAGCTAGAATTCTATGCACTACACAGGGACCCAACACCCCACTGCCTCTAGCGGAGCCAAGGGGGCCAGAGGTCTTTTCTTTTTTCTCACAGAGCATGGTGGTGATGGTGATGAATCCACAGTTTGAGACAAGAAAGGGTAAAAATGAATTTAGAACAGAATAGTGTAGATTCTTTTCCTGTTATATTTTGCTCAGGTATTTTCCCCAAAATAAGTTGAGAGCCATGGTGTTGAGAAGAGAAACCTCAAAAACAGAACAATTGAGCAGAGAAGGTTTGTGGAGGAGAGGGTAATAACTACAATTTGTTCCCAGGGACTGGAGAAAATTAAAACAGAAAAAGAAAATAAAAAGGCGGGTTATAACTCATCGGTCTTCTGTGCTAGTCATCCTTGCCTTCATCGTCCTCTACTTCTTCCCCTTCATCATCATTTTTATCTTCTTCCCTTCATCCCCATCCCCTTCTTCATCAACATCTTCCAAGCCTTCCTCTTCATCATTGTTGTCTTCTTCATCATTCACATCAGGAACCAAATAGTACTGCAGTGGGTTTGTCCAAATATCGTCTCTGACGACCTCTCCTAACCTACCTGCCCTTGCATCAGAATGGTCAGGAAACCAAGTAAAGCAGCTCTTTAACTTCATGTTGCCTCTTTCTGATGGCTTTATTCTTTTTTATATTTATTGAGCTCTACATTTTTCTCTGCTCCCCACCCTGCCTCTCCCTTCCCCCTTTAGACTTCCCCCAAGGTCCCCATGCTTCCAAATTACTCAGGAGATCTTGTCTTTTTCTACTTTCTACTTCCCATGTAGATTATATCTATGTAAGTCTCTCTTAGTGTCCGCATTGGTTTCTAAGTTTTCTGCGATTGTGGTTTGTAGGCTGGCTTTCTTTGTTTTATGTATAAAAACCACCTATGAGTGAGTACATGTGATAATTGTCTTTCTGTTTCTGGGTTACTTCACTCAAAATAATGTTTTCTAGCTCCATCCATTTTCCTGAAAAATTTAAGCTGTCATTTTTGTTTTGTTTTGTTTTCTACTGTGTAGCACTGCATTGTATAAATGTACCACATTTTCCTTATCCATTCTTTGGTCGAGGAGCATTTAAGTTGTTTCCAGGTTCTGACTATGACAAACAAAGCTGCTATGAACATAGTTGAGCACATGTCCTTGTGGCATGATTGAGCATCCTTTGGATATATACCCAAAAGTGGTATTACTGTGTCTTGAGGAAGGTTGTTTCCTAATTTTCTGAGAAACTGCCACATTGACAGCCAAAGGCATTGTACCAGCTTGCATTCCCACCAGCAATGCAGAAGTGTTCCCTTTTCCCCACAACCTCTCGAGCATAAGTTGTCATCAGTGTGTTTGATCTTGGCCATTCTTATAGGTGTAAGATGAAAACTCAGATTTGTTTTGATTTGCATTTCTTTGATGACTAAGGACGTTGAACATTTCCTTAAGTGTCTTTCAGCCATTTTAGATTCCTCTGTTGAGAGTTCTCTGTTTATGTCTTTATTCCATTTTTTTATTGGATTATGTGTTGTTTTGGTGTCCAATTTCTTGAGTCCTTTGTATATTTTGGAGATCAGACCTCTGTCTGATGTGGGATTAATGAAGATATTTTCCCATTCTGTACACTGTCATTTTGTCTTGTTGACCATGTCCTTTGCTTTACAGAAGCTTTTCAATTTCAGGAGGTCCCACTTATTAATTGTTTCTTTCAGTGTCTGTGCTGCTGGGATTCTATTTAGGAAGTGGTTCCCTGTGCCAATACGTTCAAGTGTACTTCCCACTTTCTCTTCTATAAGGTTCAGTGTGGCTTGCTTTATGTTGAGGTCTTTGATCCATTTGGACTTGAGTTTTGTGCATGGTGATAGATATAGGTATATTTTCATTTTTCTACATGTTGATATCCAGTTATGCCAGCACTACTTGTTAAATATGCTTTCATTTTCCATTTTATATTTTTTTGCTTCTTTATCAAAGATCAGGTGTTCAAAGATGTGTGGCTTGATATCTGGGTCTTCAATTTGGTTACATTAGTCCTCCTGTCTGTTCTTATGCGAACACTAGGCTGTTTTCAGTACTGTAGCTCTGTAGTAGAGTTTGAAGTCAGGGATTGTGATGCCTCCAGAAGTTCTTTTATTGTACAGGATTGTTTTGACTATCCTGGGTTTTTGCTTTTCCATATGAAGTTGAGTACCATTCTTTCGAGGACTTTGAAGAATTTTGCTAGGATTTTTTTTGGGGGGGGACTCAAGAGACAAAGAATTTATTTCACACACACACACATTTCTGCTTGCATGTTCACCTGCACACCATGTGTGTGTCTAGTACCAGAAGGGGCCTGAAAAAGTTAATGGCTTTTTTCTTAATTGGAGTTACAGCTACCATGTGGGTGCTGAGACTGGAACCCGTGTCCTCTGGAAGAAGGGCCAGTGCTCTTTACAGCTGATCCATCTTCAAGCCTCTAAAGATAATCCTCACAAAAGTTAGATAGAAAGTGAAGATCCCGTCATGTGTTGGTGGCATAAGCCTTTAATCCCAGCACTCAGAAGGCAGAGGCAGGCGGATCTTTGTGAGTTCGAGGCCAGCCTGGGCTACAAGAGCTAGTTCCAGGACAGGCTCCAAAGCTACAGAGAAACCCTGCCTTGAAAAACAAAACAAAACAAACAAATAAAAAAAATAAAGTACAGAGAAACCCTGTCTCGAAAAACCAAAAAATAAAAAAATAATAATAAAGTGAAGGTCACACACAGAGTTGGCATTCAGCAGTTTCCATCTACAAAGCTGGCATTGGTGAAGGTGTCAAGAAAGTCTTTTAATGAATCTATTTTACAAATGCACTGGAGAGTCACGCAATGCTGCCTGCATTCGATGCAATCCTGGGCCACAAGTCTGAACACTCCTTTGCAACTGGACCCGTGATAGCAGAACCTTTCATCTCGCCTTTATTGTTTACTATGACCCCTGCATTGTCTTCAAAATAGAGAAACACCCCATCTTTTCTTCGATATAACTTTCGTTGTCGAATTACAACGGCTGGATGGACCTTTTTTCTCAGCTCTGGTTTGCCTTTCTTAATCGTGGCCATCACCATGTCGCCCACACCAGCAGCAGGAAGTCTGTTCAGTCGTCCCTTGATTCCCTTCACAGAGATGATATACAAATTTTTGGCTCCTCACTTCGACATCTTGAATGCCCGGAAAGAGTCAAAATGGAAGTAATTACAAGGGACACTGGGATATGAACTCTTTTGCTAGGATTTTGATGGACATTGCGTTGAATCTGTAGATTGCTTTTGGTAAGATTGCCATTTTTGCTATGTTAATTATGCCTACCCTAGAGCATGGGAGATCTTTCTACTTTCTGGTGTCTTCTTCAATTTATTTCTTCAAAGATTTAAAGTTTTGTCATACAAGTCTTCTATTTGTTTGGTTAGATTTACTCCAAGATATTTTATGCTATTTGTGGCTATTGTGAAGGGTGTTGATGCACTGATTTCTTGCCCAGATCTTTTATCATCTGTGTACAAGAGAGCTACTAATTTTTTTTTTAAGTTAATCTTGTATCCTGCTACATTGCTGAAAGTGTTTATGAGTTGTAGCAGTTTCTTGGTAGAATTTTTGGGATCACTTATGTAAAGTATCATATCATCAGCAAGCAATGAGAGTTTGACTTCTTCTTTTCCAATTCGTATCCCCTTGATCTCCTTTTGGTGTCTTATTATTCTATCTAGGACCTCAAGAACTATATTGAATAGATATTGGGAGTGTGGACAACCTTCTCTTGTTCCTGATTTCAGTGGAATCACTTGAAGTTTCTCTCTATTTAGTTTGATGTTGGCTATTGGCTTGCTGTATATTGCCTTAATTATGTTTAGGTATGTTCCTTGTATCCCTGCTCTCTCCAAGACCTTTATCATGAAGGGATGTTGTATTTTGTCAAAAGCTTTTTCAGCATCTAATGAGATGATCATGTGGTTTTTATTTTTCAGTTTGTTTATATGGTGGATTATATTGACAGATTTTTGTATGTTGAACCATACCTGTATCTGTGGGATGAAGCCAACTTGTTCATGGTGGATAATGGTACTTATGTGTTCTTGGATCCAATTTGCAGTATTTTATTTAGTATTTCTGCTTCAATGTTCATAAATGAGATTGGTCTGTAATTCTCTTAGTAATGTCTTTCTGTGTTTGGGTATCAGGGTAATTGTAGCCTCATAAAGAGTTTGGCAATGTTCCTTCTGTTTCTATTGTGTAGAACAATTTGAGGAGTATTGGTACTAGTTCTTTGAAAATCTTGTAGAATTCTGAGCTGAAACCATCTGGTCCTGAGCTTTTTAGATTTATATTTTTTAATTTTTATTGAGAATAATAGATTATTCTCTTATATAATACAATCACAACCATGGTTTTCCCTACCTCAACTCCTCCCACCTCTCCCCACTTCCATACTCCCCCAAATCCACACACACCCCATTTCTTCTTCAGAAAAGAGCAGACATCCAAAAGATGGCAGACAAACAAGAGGAGATACAATAAGACAAGGCAAAGCCCTTCTATTGAGCCTGGACAAGAGAACCCAATAAGAATCCCAAGAATTGGCAAAAAAAAATCAGAGACACCCCCTACTCCCACTGTAAGGAGTCCCACAAAAACACCAAGCTAACAGCCATCGCACATACACAGAGGACCTGGTGCAGAACCATGTAGGTCCCATGCTTGCACATTTTAAAGCTACTTGGAGGTGGCATTTCTATTAGTCACCACTGAATACACCAAGACCTGAACACAAATGTCAATGACTGTGGGGTTCGGATGAGGCCATGTGAAGAACAGATATAATAGCCGTGGGAGCTAGATGCTGGTCATTAGGAAGGTGGTATCCTTTAAATGGCCTAGATTTTCTTAGACTCTTAAATATCTAAAAAGATGTAGGCTGTTCTGTAATTTATGTACCAGTAAGGATGAGATGAATTATGACATCAAAGAGGTCCAAAATAGAAAAAGAGCAGGCCTCCCAATGATATCAACTGAATACAGAATAATAAGAAGGGAATGAAAGAGGGCGATCTGGGGGAGAAGGGGAGGGGGTGTGGAGAGTGTAGGTTGAGAGCAGTGGAGGAGTGGAGACTACTGTTGGAATGTATGGTGTGAGAGAAGAATTTTTAAAAAATATATCTAGAGGTGACGATGTCAGAGGAGCAGAAGGTGGCAATTGAGCTTCGGGAGTTTGGCTCACCACCATGCAAGAACATGATGGGTAAATCTTGGATAGGAAAGACTCCAAGGGCTTCAGCTTCAGAATGTCTGTTGCCACTGCTGTGCCTGTACATGTTTGCTGCTGCCATTTTTCTCTGGTATCTGGCCTGGTGTGAATGGGTGTGTGGGGGGAGGATTCCCACTGCCTTTAAGGTAGTGTGATTATTTCGTGGAAATATCCTATTCTACTGGACATTTTTACCTGTGGATTATTATAAAGATGATTTCTTCTTCAGCTGTACCGTTTAATTGGAGTAATGATTCTATACAACATTAGTGTTAGTTTAAATAGAAATTTGATGATTGAGGGTTTTTAACAAATATATTATGATTATGATAGAGGTTAGTTTGGTGAGAAAATTAGTATAAGTAAAAGTAGGATATAGTGTTATCCCCACCCCTGGTAAAGTAGGGGCTGCAAAGGATAGAAAACAGGAACACGGAAGTGTAGCCATATAGACTATGGTTTAGGTTAATTATTAGGAAAACAATGGAATCCCATGAGTTAGTTCAAGAGCTTTTTGATATTAGGAAATGTGTTCACAGGTTTCAGTATGAATCAGAGCTAAAACAAAGCTTTAAACACTTGATTTCTTGTGACTAGAAAACAAAGAAATGGATGGTAAATTAAGATAATTGTACAGTACTCTAAAATATGAAAAGTAAAACAAATAACCTGTTTTTTGGTCAATTATAAAAACTACTGCCCTTGTAAATGGTTGTAAATGAAAAGCTCCTGGTCAATGAAAAGCCTAAAAGGTAAATGTTTAAGTGTGGGTTTCTCAGAAAATTCATAAAGATACAGTTAAAAAAATGTATTGGGATCGACTTATCCCAGAAAAATATATTTTTATGATGAAAATGAAGTAACTCTGTAACTTTAGGTTATGCAGAAAATCCTCTTTGTGATGAACTTGGTGTGGGGAATATTTTTTTTTTGGTTTTTCAAGACAGGGTTTCTCTGTGGTTTTGGAGCCTGTCCTGGAGCTAGCTCTTGTAGACCAGGCTGGTCTCGAACTACAGAGATCCGCCTGCCTCAGCCTCCCGAGTGCTGGGATTAAAGGCGTGCGCCACCACTGCCCGGCTCAGGGAATATTTTTTAAAGTGTTTAAAAAATAAAGAAAGAGAAGATAAAAAGATGATAGAGAGACCCTGGAGGATGTGTGTGTGTGTGTGTGTGTGTGTGTGTGTGTGTGTGTGTGTTTGTGTGTACATAGTTCCCTTTTTCGCCAGCCCCAGAATTAAGTTTTATTCCCTCAGATAGAAAGGTCAGTTGAGTGATTGGTCAGAGACTCTGGTTCCCCTTCAAATCCTGAGCTGTAGAAGGCTGGTCCTCACAACAGCCATCTAGGAACCAATGAAATAAAATACAGACAAGTGGCTTCCAAGTCATTATGTAGACAAAGATGGCCTTGTATTTATTCATTAAAAGACATATAGAGTTTCTTTGTGCATGAACAGTTCTTTTGCTTTGCTTTGTTTTGTTTTGTTTCACAGCATCTTATATACCACAGGCTATCCTCCAACCTGGCTATGTAGCAGAGGATAACCCCAAACTTCTGATCCTCCTACTCCCACTTCCCAAGGGTAGCAATTTCAGCATGCCCCACCATACCTAGTTTACGTGACGCTAGGATTGAACCTATAGCTCATGTATACAAGACAAACATTCTACCAGCTGAGCTACATGTCTCTGTTTTATTCTATTCTTTCAATAATTCTGAATTATATTGTATAAATCAGTCCTTCAAACACACAAAGATACAAAATAAAAGCTTAACCAAAGGCTGACTCCCAAAGGATTGCAATATTATCAGTATTATAATAAAGCTTTGTATATAAGACTGAGGATGCTTCATTGCTGAGGAAAAGGTAATTCACTCCATTATAGCCCAAAGTGGAATCTGAGAACTGGAGAAAAACAAAAGGTAGGGATAGAGGAAGCTTGTACATATCAGAGGGGATTTCTATGACTTAATCCCAAATTCAATTTATTAGATAATTTCACTAGTATGTGGTAACTATGAGAAAATCAAGGACAAAATAGCAAGAGCTATATGGAACTCAATTCATGCAGAGTAAAAGTTTACATTTACTCTTAAATGATCATTTAATATTTTGTTGTTAAACTTTCCTTTTTATAGTCGGGTTTGATGGTATGTGTCTCTAATCTCAGCATTTGGGAGGTAGGATGAAGAGATCAGGAGTTCAAGGACATCTTCGCCTAAACAGTGAGTTTGAGGCCAGCCTGGGCTACATGAAATTTACTCTTGTATATATTGAAACTCCCCCCCCCCAAAAAAAGTTTTCTTCTCCTATAAAATGAGGATAATTATAAATATTTGGAGTTTTTAAGTATTATGTTGCAAGAAAGACTCAAACAAGAAAATCCAAATGGATGTCAAATATTGCAAGTCTCATCTATTTCCTCTTTGAAAATACACAGATCGATGAAATTATCAAACCTAGTAATAGTACTAGGGTATGACAGTTAATGTTTGTCTTTTCTTGAGCCTTTTAATCCCATGAGTCAACACTGTACAAAGAACTTTCCTGCAATAAAAAAAAAAGTTGATCGTACAGCGGCATCCTGACAGAAAAGGCAAAGTCTGGGCTATTCCCACCAGGCTCTTCCCATAAAAGGACAAGAGTCTCACCTGGACCACACTAGAGACTCTGCAGAGAGAGAGGGGCTCATCTCCACTCAGCGGGCAACTCTGAGTGTCTGGCCAGGTACAGAGGGGTAGGGAGTTGCTATCGCTGAAAGAAGGAAAGGGACTCCGGTTCAGGTCTGTTTTAGGGCCCAGAGATACAGGGAGTTTAAAGGAAAGGAAGGAGCATTTAAGTGGAACAAGATAGGAACTAAGACAGGGATGGGGG